TTTAAGAAGTAGACATGGTTTTGCTTACCAAGAAACTGCAGAAATTAATCTTGGAGCATATGGTTCAGATTCATCAGTGCACTGAGCACTTTACAGCTGCAGCAACTTAGGTGATAGACAGTGCTTCTCCAAGTGCTCAGCTACCAGCAGAACCGAGAGCAGCACTTGCCCAAACTCTGTGTTTGTTCTCTCTTGCTGGTCCTGCACTGCTGCAGTTAAGCTCACGAGAACGTCTCCAGCCTGAGTGAGCCCTGTACTGCTTTCATTTTTACTGAGCAATGATAAATGGGGTTTTGGCTTTGTTTGTATCAGGAACACAAAAACAATTTAGTTGTTTTTAAGGTTTGTTTTGTTGTTTTTTTTTTAAGAAATGTAACTTCCCTTGAGTTTTCTGGTAGTGGTGGCGTAATTTCTTCACAGCTTTGGGGCCTATTTTGGGGCCTGTTCTGTTCTATGACAGTTAAATGCCTGTTTTCTGTGACTGCTCCAAAATGTGGTTGTGTTCAGTGAAATCTCTTCGTATTGACAGGAAAGGGTGGAGTCTGATGCTGTGCTGGTCTGGTTTATACTAGTGTAAACCTATTGACCTGGCTGTACCTTAACAACTCTTTTTCCTTGCATTTATGGAGAAGTTCCCCATTTGCAAACCTGTAGGTTTGTTGACTTGCTGCTTAATTAACTAACTGTTCTCATTTAGTGTCCTTCAAGTCTATGTTGTATAAAAGGGGGTTTACTAATCCAGATGAGAAATAGCCTTTTTATGTATGACAGTTATACCTTAAAGCTCTTAGGAATGATGCAAAAGAAAAATCACCACTCTGTTTGTTGAGAGATGCTGGTTTCTTAATTAGAGTAACTACTATAATACTCTAAATACTCTTTCAGTGCTCTTTAAACCCTTGTGTGGAAGTAAGGGCACCTTGTCAGATACTAGGTCTTGACTAAATGATATAATATTTCAAATTCCATTTTCACGGTTGGTCTTTAAATAGAGTTTGATTTCACTTACTGTCTTCCTCCACTTTACAGAAACATTTAAAGGGAACAAATTAATAATCACAGAATCATAGAATAGTTAGGATTGGAAAGGACCTTAAGATCATCAAGTTCCAACCCCCCTGCCATGGGCAGGGACACCTCGCCCTAAACCATATTAGAAGCAGAAGCATAGCCAGAAAATCTATTTATATACGTGGGGTAAACAAACTGATCCACGGTGAATGATCTTTTCGGTTATCCACAGTGGTTACTGCAATAAATGTGTCATGAGCTACATTATATTCTTAAAGCTGAATTTTCTTTGGGATGCCAAAGGTATGCGGTATTATATTATGTTGTTCTGGGAACCAAGATAATTCCTGCAGGGAGCCGATTTCCGAGATCTCTTTTGTGGCAGTACAAAGGAGAGGAAGTGACAAGGACATGGCCAACGTGCGCATTAATCACCAGCCTTGTATTCCTGTGGTACAACGTTACTTTGTCTTATTAGTTGCAGGACTCTATGCTGAAAAAAGGTATGTTGTGTGCCCTTTTCCTTTCATTCCCAGGTAAATTCCTGCTGATGGACAATGAGATCTAATGATGTCAGAATTACATCCTGGAAAATCTGTTAACATGTGTGATTTGACATTCAAGTCATGCAATTTGTTACGTTTTACTTCAGTGAAGCAGCACAGGTTTAACCTTCTCTACAATAGGTTTTTATCAAGAAGGCCAAAAAAACAAATGACACATCTTACTGACTGGATACACTTGAACACTTTTTATTGAGAATGTATTAGAGTCAATAGCTCCTTTGTGAAGCTTTGCAGAAAGTCAATTTCTAGAGTATTTTGACATCATTTTGGAGGCCACATCTCTTTATTTTAATAGAAACAGAAGTTTTCTAGTGATTGATCACTTTCTTCCATTAACTGAAATTATGTATTCAGAGACCAGCTCAGTTGGATTCTCCAGTGGAAGCTTTCGAAAGTAGGGCCTCTACTCGGATAGCCAATGAGGACCTGTCTTGAACTTGCTACAATTAATAATTCAAGCAGAAGCAGAGCACAACATTTTTGTTAGTTCATTGAATTGACTTGATCGGCAGCTCGACAAGAGGGCTGTAAACCACAGATCAATTCAAATATCAAGTTTAATTTTGTGAGAAAATAACACTGTTAATAATGGCACTTAACTAGTGCTTCATTTCTAGTATACAGTATATACATTCAGAAACATACAGTACACCTTCCTGCTCAGAGGTTTACATTCCAGTAATGTGCTTTAAGAAATAATTTAATAAAATCTTTGTGAATTCCTTATACATCAGTAGACTGATTTTTTATCTTGCATATATACAGTATTTTACTCATATTTGAATGCAGAACAGATAAGCCCCTATTTACAGTAATCAGAAACCTTCAGGCATTTGAAATGGAAAGACCCCATTATGGAGGACTTTGTATATTAAAGATTTTCCATAAATGTTCTTTCGTATGTATGATATATGTATTTCCTGAAGTATTTTACTGCGCTTGCTCATGTGCAGTTCTTTATATAGATATTGCAAAGTTCTCACTTTTTGGGATACTGCTTTTTCAAGAAATACCATGTGAGGGTGCTGTGATTAAGTTCAAAATCTCCTTATGAGAACAGCAGCCAGGCAGCTCCATGGCACAGTTTCTTTGAGGCAAGTAATATATCAAATTAACTCTTAGAAAAGTTGAGTGGATATCAGAGTTGCTTATTAAACTGTGAAATTTGTTTGCCTATATGATTGCCATCACATTTAGTATATGTATATCTGTACATATATATGTATGTACTTAACTGCTGCAATGTAAGAAAGATTAGGAAAAGAATAAAAATTGAGTTTTCAAGGGTAAATAATATAAAAACTTATTCTTTCTTCATCTGTCAAATAGCAGCTTCCATTTGGCTACATAAATCCATTTGTAATGTCAAATCACTGAATAAGGTTTGGGTCATCATAGAAGAGTCAGTCTAATGAAGTAAATGTGAGTGGTAAGCAGTACCGAGTGTACAAGGCCATGCATGGGGGGAAACGGAGGAGCAAAATGAAAATAAAACATAGTTCAGGGAAGTGCAAAAGGTGAGAGAAAAAGAGAAATGATAAAAGATCCATGATGTGAAACTGTGAATTTAACACAGAGAGAAAGGAACAGAAATAAATGTGACAGTCCTGTGAAAGACAGGAAGATGTCTTAATAGAAGGGGGAAATAGAAGTAAGGGAGCAAGTGTAAGTTAAAATTGCATTTAATGCTGCCTGTTCAGCCACACAGTTCTGGCAGTGTCCCAGTTCTGGAAGCCTCTATTCACACCAGATAAGCCAGTTCCTCCCTGCTGGAATTTTCCTGCATAATGGGATAAAATTTCTTTAACAGATTTTTACAGGAGAGATTTAATGTGGCGCATTAGGAAACCTAATTTTCTTCAGATGGGAAGAAGAGGAACCTGACTGCTTGACAGTTGTAAGGAAAGATTTCTTTCTTAAGCACTTCTGTGTGGAAGTGAGTTTGAATGTTCAAGATGTGTAGAAATGCACAGAAAACCTCTCAAGGGAGAAAAATCCAACCAGAGCAGCCAGGATCATGTCAGCATAGAAGCACAATAAATAAATATGTGAATGGGGTACAATGATATAGGCTTCATTCCTTAGCATGGTTTTTCATCAATGGGCTAAAACTGTGAAGTAAATGGATGTAGTTGTGCTGGGTAGTTTTTGTGTGGAGAAAACACCACAAAAATAGATGAATAGTATAGGCTTAAAGGATTAAAAACCCCCAAATTAATAAGTGAAAAGCTATTTTAGAAGTAAAGAATAAATAGAAAATCTTTTCCATCAGGATGCTGACAACTTAGACATGCTTGTATATGAAGCAGACAAGCAAAGATGGCTATAAGAAGAAATTGCTTGAGTAACATTGATGAAAAGGGAAAAGATCTGGAAAGGTTGTCCCTCACCTGCTTTCCACTTAGAATTTCAGAGGACCCTTTATCAGGTGAGATTGTGCTATAAGCAAGGGAAAAGGTTAAACTTGGATTTTGCTCCATGTTTTTTCTATACCAGAGGCTTGAAAAGGCACGATTTTTTGAACAAAGTCACGTGGAATTCGAGTTGTGTTGTGACAGATTAAGCAATGAAATGATTCTGCTGGGTTGCAGAGTGAGTGACAAAGATGTCTTGGTGCCCCCAGACCAGTGGGAGAGTGTAAGTTTAACTTCTGTCCCCTCTGTCATTAACAGTGCAATAGCAGCTTAGGAACAGGGGGTTCTTGGGTCAATGTTTCATTGTTTGGTGTTGTGGGTAACTTTTTTCCTGCAGCATGTTGGTGTTTCTTACATATTTCATATACTCAGTAAAATTTGGCAACCTCGATTGGATTTCTTCATCCCCCTGTGAAATACAGAAACTATACCTTCACTATGCATTCAGGAATCACATTGGGAGGCACTCTGTTTCCGAGAGGTCAGCAAAAAGCTGATGTTGACTGGGATTCCTAGATACTATTCCCATTTTTAAACCTTGTATGTATTCAGGGATTTGGTATGGTTTCCAAACCCCCAGTGATACCCTAGATTAAAGAGATGTTAATTTATTTGTTGCAAACATATCCCTTGAAAATACAAAATGTTAATCATAAACATATTTATTATTAAGATAATTGTTACATGAACATATGTGGACCATAACACTTAGCCAGACAGTCTTTACTAGTTAAACTTTGATTTAACTTTGTAAACCACTGTGTCCTTCATTTTAATATGTGAAACAGGCATCTCTCGGTTCCCTTAGAATTAGTCAATAAATATTTCTGAATTCTTGAAATGTTTAGGATGCAAACAAAGCACTGGAAAACTAAAACACATTTTTGTTGTACCTAAAAAAAAAATCAATTTACCATAAATGTTAAAACCTAGGTTAGTTTGTGTGAGAAAATGATTTCTGAACGTGGTTCAGAATGGGGAGCATTCTGAACTTGGGGATTCAGTAATAGAGAAAGAAATTAAATAATTTAATTTATAATTCACATTTACTATTTTGACATGTATAATTGGATAACATGATCTTTAGTAAAGATCATCTATATCATCTTCATTGAAAAATGCTATTTACTTCATCAAGGATAGCACTATTACTTCTTTGTACAGAAAGTAAGGTAATACCTTTTCCTATACAAGATACAAGGTGCTGTGTCTTCAGTCAAGACTTCAATAAACTGCTTAGTGATTTCTTCAGACAGGAATATCAGAGCGATGAAGACAGAGTTTTTGCTTTGTAACCCATTCAGTGCACTGGAAGCATTAGATGTCACAGGTATTACAGCACATAGGCCAGAGTCTCACAAGGTTTCGGCAAACAATTAACTATTTGAAAATTAAGACTGTTCCATTGAACTGTAATGGAAAGCTCCTTCTAGCCCATTGCTTGGGACTCTCACATTAATGGCTCTGAGTACCAACAAGCAAAATCACAGTCCCAGTACTGGTACAGCAAGTACTGCATTAATAGAGCAGCAGAGGGTTTTTCCATACCTACGTCATGACCTGCTGTACTACTGTGTGCTCATGAGAACACCCTTGATTCCCACAGTGTATCTTCTTAAGCAGACGTCGTAATTTGTTGGGAAAGTTTTTGTTAATGTATCTGTAGAGCAGAGGCATTACAAAGCTGCTTGAGAAAGCCAAGAATTTTGACAAAATCTTGGTAAAATGTAGTATTCGACTGTAATTCTCATCTGCAATTCTTCCTTGTGCATTTGTAAATGTGCTTACCAAGAGAATAACATAATAGGGCGTCCATAAGGTAAACTGTGTACAGACTGTGGCAATCAAAAGCCTGTGCACTGATGGATCTAATCGTCCAGTGTCTTGATCCAGTGGTGTCGCCTCTTTGCGTATTCGCAAGATTAATACAAGTGCATACAGTACAGCGGTAGCTGGTACAACATACCCGATAAAGACCATAATGGCATCTGCTGCTTCTTTGTTCTGCATCTTGGAACATTCAATTATTTTAGTGGAGACATGATTGCAGACATAGAACAGGAGAGATGAAAAACTTGTAAGCATGGCACCACCCCATATGAATCCACAGACGTGTTTGGTGTTGTACACGCTTGACATGTAAGTTCTAGGTAGAGCACGTTCAATGTAGTAGTCCAGACTGAGTAATGTAGTTGAGTACATGGTAACTAAAGATGAGACGTTGAATAAAATAAGTAAGGTAATATAAACTTCATTGTTAGAATTCCAGATGGCCCATTTTGTATTGGCAAGACCTAGAAGATACATTGGTGCCAGAGCGTTTATGATGAGGCCGGCAATGGCAATGTTGACAAAGTAAACATCTGGCATAGTCATAGTAGCTTTGTTGTAGAGGTTAACTAGGACCAGCAAGCCATTGTAACAAAGGCCAACTGGGAAACATATAATGAGGTAGAGTAGGGAAAAGATGGAAAGCACAAGGTGGAAGTCATGGCAGAGATGGTGGTCCTCACTGCTCTCGGTACTGTTGATCACGGCTTCACAGCTCCACATAGTGATTTTAGCTTTTGTATCTTCTCTGCTGGTTACCAGCTTTTCTGTAGAGAGAAATAGTAGAAGGATTGTTGAAATATTATATTGTAAGTGAAATGCAACGTAGTATGAAGAAAACATTCTAAAGATAGACATTGTATGCTTCATTTAACTGTTCAATTTAAGGTCAGTGACTGAAATGCCTTTTGATCATGTTAGACTAGAAGAAAGTCACCTGTGATTCAGAATTTCATGAGACTAGTACATGTTCTGAAGTTCTAATTTAAATGAAATTAATGGCAAATGAGTTGACACAGGACACTCCACAGAAGTAAATAAACTATACCTTTAAAGTAAGTACGGATATAATATACCTGAAGTACAATGCTTTTTAAAATTACTAAACAGTACCTTTTATATAGTGAATAATATAGAAGAGTGGCAGCTGAAGAACTAAAGGCTATAAGCTGAAGAACAAATCTTAGCGATAAGATCAAGAACAGAGTTCTCTAAGGTGTTAAATAAGCTTTATGTCAAAAAGATAGTTTCTTAGGAGGCATTTGCAAGGCAGTACGGTGGATGTATACTGTATCACTGATAAAGCTGACAAAGACTAGAGGGAGCTGGGAAATGAGGTGAAGGGTTTTTTTTATAGGTCAGTTTGTAGTGAGACTTCCGACCTATAACCATTTAGTTGGAAAAAAAAACAATGGACCTCTGTAGTCTAGGGAACCTAATATCAGGGCAGCCTGACTTTCCGAAGGGGCAAGAATCGGCTATCATTTCCTCTCAAAATAGCTTGAATTCTTTAAAAAGTATGCTAGTATCAGTAGTTGTTGTCCAGCTATCTTTGCTTTTGTAAAGAGATAACGTTTTAACTGAAATCAGTGAACTTCAAAGCAATCATGAACAGTCTCTTTCCAAAATGCAGAAATAAGAAATAATCTTTCAAATACAATTCAAAACATCCACAGCCTTAAAACCATGGTTCTTATTCCCATATCTGGGACAGCATAGAATTTATGCAGCAGGTGATTTCCCATGTCACGTGTACTCTGATACTGTCAGATACTCAGCGTTGCGTCTCTCTTTCAGCACGTATAGGAAAGTACAAATACATATACCTGCATTCTTTCCAGAGAGAGAACAAGATTTAATCAAATCCACAATAAACATTGTGCAATTAAAATGAATGTTACTAGACAACATGCTATATACTCCATGAACCACAGGGCTAAATTATATGGTATGGGGTTTGCAAGCATACGGACACGTGATTGCATCTCTCTGGTGCTAATCCTTTGACACTTCAACCATAGTACAGAATGTATTCCAGAATCATGTCAACTTCCATTTTTTCTTTTCCACTGCAGTTGTTTTGTGTGCATTTTTCTTCTAAATACCATAGTCCGTGCCAGAAATCAGGCTAAAAATACAGTAAGTTTAACTGGGCAAAGAAGTTTTTATTCCACTGTCATATGTTGGATTTCCTTAGATAAGTGGCAGCAGCACAAGACGCAGTTCTATTGTTTTTAAAACTTGCTTTCTCACCTTAGAGGAAACGCTTTGTTTTCTCAACTCAGTTCTTTAGCTATAGTATTGACGTGAGTAGAAAGTACAGTATCTTTATGTTGTCTTTCAGTCGTCACACTTCTTGAGCACTGAAAACCACCCAGTTTATTTTCAGGAAGCATCTGTTGTTTTAAATGTTTAAGAAAGAAGAAAGCTGTTTTGCACAGTTGAAGGCAACCAGAGTTACATCTCATTGAACTGTTATGACTTGATCCAACCAAAGCAGCAGACTGGAACTCGATATTGCAAATATATGCACTGTGGTGAGCGCAAGGGTGACTAAGCAAAGGCATGGACACAATCACGTAATTCCATTATGTAGGTTTATCCTTAAGCATGTAGCTTTGATTACTCCAGACTGAATTACATCAGCCACAGAATACCTGCCTGTGTATTGTCTCAGAAGATCAACAGTCTTTGCTACCATGCTTTGTATTTTATAGAGCAGGAGAATGTCTGGTTTCACAAGTGTTTTAGTAATTACCACATTTTTCTTTACGGCCTTTAACTGCAGTTAAATAAGACAATTCTATATTAATGGTAGAAATGGTTGGCAATTCATTGTGTTAAATAGTAACCGTACCAAATTGCAAAACTTAACTCCAAAATTACAAAACTTACCTCCAGAATGACTAGGAATAAATGCCAAAGTAAAAGTATTTTCAGAGGAAATTCTGTTGATGACTTCTAAATTACCAGATGAGGTATTCTGGCCACTAATGCAGAAATCACCCATTTTAAATTGTCACTTACCTCTGAAGGCACTGAACCTGTTTGCTCTGCTGCCTGGGCCCAACTCAGCATTTCTTACCCAGCCGTGTCTCTTGTCATTTTAAAGGCAGTTGTATCTCCATAGACCACGTCTGGGCAAGTCCTTCCGATGCTTCGGGCGCAGTTGTTTTACCCGATCAATCAATACTAAACCCTTTCTCCAGTCAAAAGTACATTTGCAGTCCCAGGTTGACTCTGTTGCATAAGTGACTGCTGCAGTGCTCTTGTTTACTGTGGCCTGACTCAGCCTTCCCTAATGCTTCCCCAGGTCTTGCCTGATTTTATACTTCTGTCACGCTGAAAATTAAAGTCAGAACTCCAAGCGTAGAAGGGAAGAGCGCCCTGGCAGCCGCCGCTCGCTCTCCAGCCTGCCTTTCCCACGGCCCCAACCTCGGCAGCGCTGCTGTAAAGCCTCTTACCTTTAATTCACGTTTCACATTCCTCCGCGTTACCGGATCCGCACGCCTTTGATAAGCAGCGTTTCCGAGGAAGGAAGCTGGCTGCACAGCCCTGTCGTGTTTCGCTCAGAGAACATGGTGATCGCCTCCCACCAGCGCCCGGGCAGCGTGCGGCTCTGCGTGCCTGCCTGCCTGCGCTGCACTTGTTTTTCCTCTGTAACTTACTCACAAGTTTCTGCTTGGCTTGGCAGGCGGCAGGCCCCTCCCTTTCCCTGTTTACAGCCAGTTTGAAGAAGTGAGAGGCTGTGCTGCGAGGGGAGCGAGCTGCTGGATCCAGCTCAGTTTAGTCTCTGGGTTTCAGATTTATTGCTTAAAATATACGGGCTGCCGGAGCCCACAGGTTTGTTGCGGTATTGTCATCTGCGCTGGGGTTCTCCGGGGACATTGGAGGGGCTGCTCCATTCCCTTCAAGTGCAATCAGCAGCTCTCGGTCAAGAGCGTGGGTTTTATTTAACCTGGGATGAGAATATATAGCTTTGAGGTTTCAGTTTTATAGGCCATACATCCAAACCAATCAGTATTTAAAAGTCAGTGTACAGGTGCTCCTGCTGCTTGCAAAGGTGAGCTTGCTTGTAACAGAAGCTAGTAGCAAAGGTTTCTGAGCATTTACTTTGAATTTGGAGGTTCTTCTGGCGCTCTGAAAAGGCTTTACAGTGTGAGCCTCATTTTGTGATGGTGTTACGGATTCCATTCTTCCTCCTTTTGGAAAAGTTGAAAAGACGATTGTTCTCTATAGTATTTGCATGTCACTCGCAATTAATGGATGTATTTATTCTGTGTATATTCTCTACATGTTTAAAATGAATCATTTCTTGAAAGAGTTTTTGAACTGTTGGTTGGTAATTCATCTAATTCATCCCATGCTGAATTCTGTTCTGTGGTTGTTGATTTATTTGTGTGGAAGCTTCTCAGATTAATGAACTAAAGTTACCATCTTCAAAGTATGTTTTTAACTGAGATTGTTAACCAAAGCTGAGAGCTGCCTTTTTCAAAATAATTAGTTTTATATTTAAAGATTCTGAGGCTTTATTCCATAGCAAATAGACACCCATGAAAACTCCTTTAATTAAAAAGCAGGTGTTTATGGGATAAATGCCAGAGAAACACTAAAAGTGGTTATTCAGTTTGTGTTAAGTTACTCTATCTGATTGCAGTTGGGGTTTTTTTTTTTAGGCAAGGTCTGTACTTCTTGGTTTGTATTTAATAATTCATTGTGACTATTGTAAAACCAATACAAGTCTCACATGGCAGGGAGTTCCTACACTCCTGTTTGATACATAGTCACAGACAGAATTGTGTATGTACTATGGATAACACTGTTTCAAACTGGCATCAAGCCTTTGCTGCCCGGAAGCTTTAGGAGGACTTGAATCATCCCAAGTTCAGTGGGGAAACAGTAAGGTAGGAAAGGTATTAGTGTAGAAGTACTTATAGAATTCTGATACTTGGTCAAGCACCCATTTCTTTACATGCCAGAGAAGTTGAAGGTGATTTTGTATAGATACAAATTTGCACAATGTACTTAAGGAAAATTTTTTAGAACACTGCACAAAAAGTCAAGAGCACTTGGTTGCAGAGATTGTTTTAGAAAAAAAATACATTAAATGAACTTGTAATGAGAAAAATTAATGACGTGCTGCTTCCTTATGTTACAGAGCTCCTAGCTGCAGTCTGTTTTTTCAGACATTTTCGTTCATACTGCAGCACCAAGTTGCAGAGCAGGTTGGTTAACAGTTTCAAGCATGACCATTCCACGCTCTGATTACTTTATTTGACTTAAAAAGCCTCAAACCTTTATCCAGCTGTAGCAGTATGTCTTACTCTGCAGATTTTTTTTGTTTAGACAATGAATGATTTGTCTACTTGGTCTGTTACCGTCTGTATGCGATATAGCTCTTATCTAGATTATCTTACCTCTAAATATGTGTTTTCACAAGCTGTAATACCTTTGTAAACCACACATGGCTGTTGCCAATGAGGTAAGTCTCTAGATGGGCCTAAGACTCCTACTTTCATCAGGTCTTCTGGAGTTCTCTCAGGATCTCCTTACAGAGACTGAAATACCATAGGGGAAGGCTGAGCGCTGTGCGGAGCATTGCTGCATGGCACAGGTTTACTTCAGATCAAGAGTGAGGAAACTGAAAAGCTTGGCCAGAAGTGTTGCATATACGCATAAACCATTGTTAGCTACTCATGAGGGTTTGAAAAGTGCTTATTGAAAGTGTTACCCTAAATATTACTTACAGGTTATTTATTAATATTTTAAATAAAGGGTGATTGGTATTTCTGGAAAACAACGTACCTGCAATTAGTTGTACCTCAAGGGGAACACACTGAACTCTCAAGTGTGAGAGAATGAAGTGTCACACTGTTGTTACCTCTCAGTCTGGGTAGCATGACATATTTTTAGGCTTACTAGCTTATATACATACCATAGGGATTAACAGAAGACTTGTTGGCTGAATATACAGAAAAGTAAAACTAGATTGCCCAGGTTATATGTGAGGAGGGGAAAGAAATGCAGCAGTGCAGGCAAGTAGGTTCCAGAATATACTTTCCTTATGCAGTTGATGAGTTGCTGCTGTTTACAATACAATGATACAGCTCAGATAAAATGCTTTTAACATTAGTGGAGAAGAAACTCCTGCTTGATTCTGGGTGCTGGGCTGAAAAACAGGCCCCTTCAAACCCTATCATTTATGTCTTTGTGGTGCAATCCTTGACCAGTTTGGCAGGTGCTGTGTTTATAATCAATAGCTGTTCTATTTTACAATGTAGTTAATTCAGTGCAGTGTAATGTGAAAGAAGTCATGACTGAATAACAAGAATGCCTCATATAAAGTAGCATTGAAAATAACTCAAGTTTCCCTCTGCAGTAGGAACTTGCTTTAGTAGCAGCATAACAATAACTAAAATTTCTTTAAGAAGTCCTTTGACTATTGCCTACTCGTGCTAAATTCTGCACAATTTGAGTGCTGGGAGCCCATTTTCAGCTTTATAGCTTAGTGTCTTTCCCTGATCCAGTGTAATTCCTTAAGTGTTCACTTTGTCCAGACATAAATGGTTATGCGGATTTCCCCCTCTTTTGCTGTATTTTAAAAACCCTTGTTTTTCACATCTGCCTTGCCCTTGTTTTCCTCTTTATCTCTCCCTGATGACTCGATTACAGTTAATGCTGCACCTCCCATCATTTGCTCTTATGACACATATACTATATTGTAGCAGACTTATCATAGGATTTCTAAGTATGATACTGTTTCACCTCTTAATTCTTCATTACCTTTTCCCATGGGAAATCTCAGGCTGTTCTTAGGGTTGTCAAGTCAACAATAAAAATCGAATTCCCAAGAACCGTAAGGGTGTATTTCTGTCACATGTTGAATGAGTACAGAGAGACTCATGCTGCTCTGGTTATTGCATTTTGCTTTGGTCATCCTTTGAGGATGCTCACTCTGCTTTCCCAGAAATTCAGACTGTGTCTTTCATATATTTCATATATATCCCCTTCCTGTAGCCCTCTCTCTCACTTGCCAGGTGACCCTTTTGTTGTTCCACAGATGTTGGCAACCACTGTCACTTGTTTGTTCCTTTCGTTCTGTAAGCACCATCTTTGTAGTAAATCACCTTTATAGCAGCTACCTGGTTATCCAGATCCCACTTGTGCCATGATAAACTGCTTACTGCCCCTGGCCTTCCTTCTTCTGTGTTAACCTTTTGTTTACATTATTATTATTATTATTATTATTATTATTATTATTATTATTATTATTGAAACAGGTATAATTCCATAGAATATAAAACTATTAACAATGTCGGTTGTACATTTTGTTTCTGTTTACATTGTTCACCTCTTTGGGAATCTGTATAAGGCCATGGTCAGAAGCAAGTCTCTGCAAATTGCTGGCTGGTAAGCATCAGCAAGTGAGTTCAGATACGCCTTTGGTTTGGGAGAAAGAGGAAAACTTGATTTTGGGATACAGCCACTGGTTCCCAAGATGCACATCTTCTATATATTAGGTTAGAGCTGAACAATTTATATCTTCAGAGTTCATAGACAGTTGCTCACAACATGTGTAGCTATCAGCAATGGATAACTGTATTTGCTTTCTTTTCTCTTTCCTCACTCCCCCTCAATTTTTAAGCAGCTTAAAGCTTATGAGAACAGATAATACCCACCAATAAAGAAAGACAAAAAAGATCAACTACTCTGGAAACCATAATAACAACTGCCCAAGGGTGTTTTTAAGAGCCTGTTATATGTTGGAGAATGGCATTGTGGTAGTGTTGTTTAAGGTTGTAATAACAAAGTGCTGCGGGGTAGAAGAGGCAAATGAAATTCCTGCAGAATGGGGAGACTTTAAGTTTTGTGGAGAGGAGATAGTCCAGCATTAAGGCCTCTGAAGAGTTGCATGGGAGGAGTCCCATGTTCAGACACAGATGCTATCTGCCAGGCACATCTGCCACTCCAGATAAATCCTCCTGTTCTGTGCTGTTTATTCCTTTGTAATGGAGCCTCTGCAGGAGTTAGGCTGTTGGTGGCTGTGTCCTCCTTGCAGCTGCTCAGTGCACTTTGTGCAGTGGGGCTCTGCACGGGTTAACTCAATAAACCCCATCATGTTTTGCTAACATCTCACAGTATCCTGGTATCAGATGAGTGTGACTGGTCTCCTGCTCCACCTCTTCCTGACTTAGCTTTATCACTGAATTCCGAATGAGCTTCTATATGGAAAACCTGACAAACCTTTTCTTTTATAACACTTATGTGCTGCGAGAAGGAATTCACCATAGAGCGAACAGTGCGGCTTTTCATACATCACGGATGTATTGGGGGTTAAGATTTCATTACTGCAAAAAGTGAAATGCCTTATTTTTGTGCAGTTCTAAAGATAAGGTATTCCTTCAGGAAGCATGAATTTATGCAGCAGTTACCTGTATTCATTTACAAGCCTTAGCTGCCTTGGTTTCGGAAATGAGATGCCCAGCTATCACTAGGTAATGCTTTCCTTAAAAACTGAGTCATATGAAAACCAAACCCCCTGTAGTTTTCCTGGTATTCATACTGACTTCCAGTAGCTTATGGTGTGTTAAATAACAGGAATAATTAGAATGAATGTAATATTAGAAAATAGGCATCATTAGATGCTTTGAGTTCCGGATTTTATAAAGGTGACTCCTTGGAATACAAGAAGTGGCAGCTTTTCAGCATCAGCAGAGTAGATGATGCCTTTCAGTGGTGGAATACAAACAGCCAGTTAGCACCACTGTAGCTCCTGGTCCATGTTTTCAGAGCACTTGGAGGCTGATTTTCATGCAACTGTCCTACTTTAAAACTAGGCAGCAACAAACCTGAATAAAATTCAGTATCAAGATGATTGGAAGTTGCTACAAAAATGTAACCTGTGGCAGAATTTCCACTGTGCTTATAACTGGGGAGCAACAGAACCCAAAGGACGTAATTAAAACATACAGTGTTGTTTTCTTGGAGAGCACACAGGCCCATCAACTGTAGCAAACACTTTCATTCAGTTTAAAACTGAAGGTAAGTGGAGGTTTCTTGCCATATGAAATACTTCAGCTCAGTGGATCTATCAAAGATTACATGCACCTTCAGAAAGGATTCTTGCTGTCATGGTGGTGATGTTCAGAGTAGCTGGGACTTAGTGGATTTACACTGGTTTTAATGAAGGTATTTAGTTTGTTTTTCATGACTTAAGGAATTCAATACACAAGGTTGGTGATTTCATTAAAGGATCTTTCTTATATGGTAATCAATGGTGTTTAAGGTTTCCCCCTTTGCCAGTAGCTACAGACACTTAAACTGTAGAACAGCAAGTCAGTTAAGGCTGGCTCTGGGGAAAAAGTGTTTATGAAACTGATCATGTTCCTTTCTTTTATGTAAAGTTCATCAGATCATAGAGATTAAATCAGAATTTTCTGCTAAAGCTTTTTTAATGTTTGAGAAAATATAAAATTGCAGGATAGTTTTATGGTAAGTTTTTTTTGTTTAGCTGATTTCTCTGTTTAGGTCTCTTACGAGATAGCAAGTGGCTAGATCCCTGCATTTCTAGCATTTTGGAGTTGCTGAGGTTCCAGGTAAGGAAACTCTATGAACTGAAGATTCTGCTTCTGGTCCCTGCAAACCAGCATCACTCTAGTAAAGAAGACAGATTCTTGCCAAGCAAAATTAATGCAAATTATCCCTGTTCTAGGTAGTGCAGACTGAATTTATCCAGGGACTGAATGTCAAAGGCGCACCGACGCTGTGAATTACTCAGTAGATGAGTTGGCAGGGTGGAAACAGCAGCTCTTATCTTAACCCGCTGTTTGTTAGCTTCAGCCGCGCTTAGGGCTTCTGACAGGGAACACTGCTGAAATTTGGCAGCACGAAAACATTCCCTACAGATACCTTGCTGCCAGTTGCAAAGACTGACAGGAGGCACAGATGGTAGTTTTCCTGGAAACTATAATATAATGCCATTTCCTATTAGAAACACCAGTGAAAGCTGACCCTGTGACTTATCAACAAGACATCACGTTGCCCATGTAGGAAACTCTTGCGAAACAAACTCGGACTGCAGGGACCAGGTTTCCAGTAAATGCAAAAATATTGACATAGTTCTGTCTCAGATAACAGTTATGAGTATGAAACTGCTTGGAGTGTAGAGTTCGAAGGGAAAATCGGCCCTGAGCAGAGTTGCTGAAATGACTTCAAAATGTGTCACATCTATTGGAGATAAACAGCAATCTTTCTGATAGTTGTCAGCAAGTCTAAAACCTCTCGTTCTTGCCACTCCTGTGGCTTTTAATTTCTATTGCTTGGTGAAGGGCATATTTTCTAGCTGCCTCTTGGATGAACTCACGTATTTGCTGATTGTGTCTTACTCCATTTATAATGTCTGAGTAAAATATCTTGCATTCTAGGTGAACTAGTATAATACTATTCCTGATATAGGGGTGGGTATCATTAGACTGCAAGATTTGGAGTAGGGATTTTAGTTTACCAGGGGCTTGAAATTAGTTAAGAAGCGTCTTACTGACATGAATGGGTTCTGATTTTTCCATCTGCTGCATGTCATGTCATGCAATCCCTGCTCCCCCTTATCAGTGACAGGGTTTTTTACCCCTTATTCATCAATATTTTCTGCCAATACTCTTGATTTCTCACAAGGCTCCCCATTGCCTCTGTATGTATGGAATGACCCTTCCATGAAACCTGGAAAAGTCAGTGATAACCTTTAGCACTTTCTGTTCTAGGATGCTGGCAAAGGCTTTGACTGGTTTAATTAAGTATCCGATGATTTCACTTTAGTCCTTGGCCATACTTCCACAGGTGTATGAGTGGGGATGCTTCCCTAAATATTCTTAATGGGTGTTCTTCCAGCCCAATATGAGGCTGGACAAATGCTTTTCACGGGGAAAAAAAACTCCAGAAGTAATTTTGGCGGAAGAAATGCTCAAAGGGACCTCTGTAAGCCAGGGCTCTCTAAACCTAAACCAGGACTCTTAAACCTGAAGTCTGTCATTACAAAAAACATCTGTGAAGTTACACCTTGAGTATACTGCTTCTGTAGCAGATTTTGTTACTTCAGGAGCTGTGCAGAGCCTTGATACGTAAAATTGCATTGGGTTTGCATGGCAGGGTTTTGGTAGCAGGGGCTACAGGGGTGGCTTCTGTGAGAAGCTGCCAGAAGCTTCCCCCATGTCCAGCAGAGGCAATGCCAGCCAGCTCTGAGACACACTGAGAGGGCCAAACCCATCAGCTGCAGTTGGTAGCACCTCTGGGGTAATGCATTTAAGAAGGGGAAAAAGTTGCTGCACAATGGGAACTGCGGCTGGAGAGAGGAGTTGAAAGCATGTGAGAGGAACATCATGTTGGAGAAGTGTGTGGAGAGCTGTCTCTAATGGGAGGGAAAGAGTGTGAGCAGTCCTTGCCTGAAGAGGAAGGAGCAGCAGAAAAAACATGTGATGAACTGACCACAACCCCCATTCCTGCCCCTCTGACCACTTGGGGGGGAGAAGGTGGAGAAATTAGGAGTGAAGTTGAGCTTGGGAAGAAGGGAAGAGTGAGGGGAAGGTATTCTGACATTTAGTTTTATTCCTTATCCTACTCTGATTTGATTAGCACTAAATTAAGCTAGTTTCCCCAAGTTTAATCTGGTTTGCCCATGACTGTAACTGGTGAGTGATCTCTCCCTGTGCTTCTTTTGGCCCATGACTCTTCTATTGTATTTTCTCTCCCCTGTCCAGTTGAGGAGGGCAATGATAGAGCAGCTTGGTGAGCACCTGGTATCCAGCCTGGGTCAATTCACCAGCAAATTAAATTTATAATCTGCTTCCTCCTGTGCTAATGGGTGTAGGTTTGAGGAGTAATTAGTTTGTCACAGAGCCAGTTTCTTAGTAATGATTGATAAATGGTTGTTTTTATGTAGCCCACACAGACACAGGGTGCGTATGAACAGTAAACCGCGGTTTGCAGGGAGCTCACTGGAGCCTACTCACTTGTCTTCGCTTAAATAAGCCCTACATGTTTTAGCTGTTGTGGAAAATATGCAGAATATTCTGATAACCTCTTATCTGATGTTCAGACCCTGAATGCAGAGGTTGACATGGATCATTCTGATGTGCAGATCACAGCCATAGACAGTCACATAAATCACTTTGTGCAGACATTCGATTAACTTTCTTTCATCATTTCAGAATCAGTCCAAGTTCTGTTGGAATCCATGGGACACTGATGGGGCCAATCAGATACATGAAGGACGTGATTCTGGCATGAGAAAAAAGTTGCTGCCTTTTTGTGCTGCTTTAGCTTTTCTGTAAGAAGGACATAAAGTTCAGCTGACAAAGCCCTCAAGGAAAGTAGGTCTTCTGCTAAGTACAGTAGAAAACAGATTTGCAAATATCATGGTGATTAGCATAGTTAAAAATGCTTATGGAGGCTAAAAAGGACAGCAGTCATTCTGCTTATTCAAAGCTTCTCCTGAAAGCAGTTAGGAAATTTTTTGCTGCTTCGAAGTTTGCCTTTGGCTTACCTTCTTTTAGAATATAAATGAAAATGAAGCTTAATTGTGATTAATTAGTTAATTACTTACTGCTGTGTCTCTGCAGTAATATTTCACAGTATGGTTTGCTGTGTGTTTTATTACGCTATGAATAGAAGATTCATAAGTATCTCACTTTGAGAACTTTTTTGCTTTACTAAAGACTAATTAGATTAACTTTTGATCAATTCCCTTGCTCTACTTGTGCTATACTGTTTTACTGCTAGATTTAATACTCAGAAAGATTGAAATCTCATATTCAGAGCAATTAATAACAAACTTAAAAGCACATGCTCAGTACATAAAGAAGCAGTAAATGAGAAATCCAGCTAATGTGCAAGAATGTGAAAATTGAAACAAATAAGAAAAAGCCTAATACAGCTTGCTTTCAGACAGCTAGATAAGAGTAGGAGCATGACAAACTTAATGACATCGTTCCTAAAGAACCGTTATCTAAAACCTGAACACTGGTTTCTAACAATGGCGCTATTCATTTTCACTGATCCAGGGTTTATATGCATTAATGAAGATTGGTTTTAGGCTCTTAAAAACAGAAAACAATCCAAAAGGTGAATTTCTTAAAATCTCACCTGGGAGGCAGTGCCTTTGTGTTCCTTGGTGGCTGGCAGAAACATTTTGCCCATCAAGTGAGACCCTTTTCAAAGGGAGCTCAGGAGAAACTCCAGTATCTCATGTCTCTTGTAGGAGTAAACAGCGAGAGAGCTTAGGAAAAGACCGCTGACGCCGCTGCACTGCCCGGGGTAGTGGCACCGGGCTCTGTGTATACATGTGACTTCCCCTGCACATACATACACATAATCCTTTAAGCTTCAGCTGCATGCTCGCATTGGCGCAAAGGGCTGTTGCAAAAGCAGGGGGCCTGATCCTGCCATAGGGACTGTTCTGCGTACTGTGTTCATAATGGTGAAAGAGGCTTTTAGGGGTGGTTTTTTTGGAAAGCATGAACTGAAAGGACATTACTGTGGTCTGAGAACAGTTCAGTCTTCGGTGTAGGTACGTAACGGGAGACAAATAGCAGCTGCATTGAACTGGGGGAGCTGCTTGGTGCAAGAAGATTTTACCATAGGAGTAGGTATTCTGCAAAGCTGTGCATGTTAATAGTAATAAATCCAGAGGAAGATAAGCCAAACTGGCAAAATAATATGTTAGTAACATTCTATTTTCTTTAGAGGGACTCCTCACAGCTGTGTTTGTCGGGAGTCATAACCCTTCCCAGCTTTGAAAAACAATGCTATTTAGCAAAAGCCTGTAACATCCACTTGGCCTGTGGAGAGTTTAGACAGTTACCAACATTAGGCCTGAGTAAGAGCCAGTGTATGCTTTAGAAAATACTTTACTGTAAACCTCAGAATTATTTTAAGCATTCAAAAAGAACATTTTAATTAAAAGAAAGAAAACCCAAACATGTAAGGAAAATGCTGCTTTATCATCTGGCCTTAATGAGATGGTAGGGAAATGTAAATTCTTTCTATTTGAATAAAAAACGTGTAGTATCATGATTCTACCTACTTAGCTTGAATACAAATAGTCCTTAAATAATTTGCCTTTTAAAACTGTACTGAAGAATTAATTTATATGTTTTCTTTCCTCCCAAAAGCACTAAAGTGTAATATCTCCTTTTACTTATCAACCAGAAAGGAGTTGATCCCTAAATCAACAAAGAATTTGTCATTCATGTTAGGCATGTATGTAGCATTGTATTTACTGTATGCGATATACATGTATTTTCTTACTTTATACTTTAGTTGCTTAATTTTAGTCCTACAGTATCTTGTTAGCTAAACCATCAGAATAGGGCTCTAAGAGAGACTCTAAGGTTAACACCTGACAACTTTGCTTGTCAGTATTTGCCTACATCAGTTGTGTTTTTTTTGTTCCTTTTGGCTAAGCTTTTATTGTTTAAATCACAGTAAAAGACCCCCAAGTCTCTATTTACAATCCGTATAAGATAGCGTCTCTGTTTGTAGGTCCCACGTTAATATTTTCCATTGAATGCTCTATTGTTGGAGATTGGTCAAATTGTTAAATAAACAGGCCCTTCTGTAATCTCAGAAGTAATATTTCTATGAGGAGACAATGTGGGGCAGGCCAGGATTATGCTTTTTCCTTTTTTAATGGTTTGTAATATTTCATGCTTATCACTCATTTGGTTAAGCCGTTATATGTGGTTTGTGTTTTGAAATGCAGAGCAAAACCCTCAAACGCTGTTGATTTACATTTGATAAAATACCAGTGACAGTTGGGTGTAGAGTTTAAGGTGAAGTGTGCTTTCCTTTTGAAATTCAGGCCTCATAAACTTTAGCGTTTAGGCTTTTTGCAGGAGAAAAATGCAGAGACTGGGAGACGGAATTGTACTCCTTTGGTCTCCAGGGAGAGTGGAAGGTAATAACGTGGCTCCTTCAAGTCTGCTGCTCTCTTGGTTTTATAGAGGCAACTGCTCATTCCTATAGGCCCCGCCAGTCTATCATGCATTCAGTTTGCAGTGCCCACAGCCTGGGAGTTTTTATGTTATCCTGGTTGGGTTTCTCTCACATGCTTTCCCTGAGGCTTGTTTGTAAAGATACATAATCCCCTACACAGTTATGCTTGTCCCTGATCGTCTCGGGTAACTTGGGGTGGTTGTGGAGCAGAGGAGACTGTCATGCTTTGACCAGAAGGTCCAAATCTGAGCAATATCTGCACTTGTAGAACTTGCCCAGGTATTTCTTGTGGCAGGAGACCCACAGGAGTTTTTGCTGACACTCAAGTCCTGGACACACAGCTGCAAGGGGACGGGGTGAAATGGTGAACAAGGATGTTTGAGGTTTACTTTAGTGACTTAATTTTTAACTCTGCCTTATTGCAAAGTAAGCAAGTGCCGGCCTCAGTGAAGGTGGAGCCTTTTCTGTGACCTGCCAGGGAAAATTAGCCCATGCTTAAACCACCTTTAAACACAAGCCAGATAATGTTTGTGTGCAGCTGGTACAAGTGCATCTGGACAGGAGTCCAGTATGAGTGTGAAACACACACATAACCTCATGCATTGCCACTAAGCAGCAGGGATCACAGAGCCTTCAGATGCAGTACACTGTTGCTATTGGCTTGATAACACTGAATTAAATATGCCAGTTGCCTGTCCATCCTCCTCCAAATACCGTTCTCATTGCTGATGGTTCTATGAATTCAACGCACAGTCCTAAAGTTCATAATTACAAGTAACTCTGTTAATATGAAAGCTGTATTTGAGCAGCGCAGGTTTGCGTTTAAAGAATAATTTGTAGCGGTTCAAGTGATGAAGTTACCATGGATTTGAGGTGGTGATGTTTCTGACGCGCTGCCATGTTTGATTGATAGACAATTCAAACTACCAGAATTGATAGACAATTGATAGACAATTCTGGTAGGATTTTTTACTTACATAAGGTAGATAAGAGAAAACCTAAGAAGTTCTGTTCAATTTTCTTTGGCAATATAGTGACTTTCAGAAGTTCATCTTTTAGCTGTGCTCTCTGCGGTAACTTAGGTAGAGTTAGTGATTCAGATGGATTAAGGAAATCACAAGGTTAAAGTGAAAGTAGTTATTTGGGACTGTGGTTGCCAGAGTATTATTTTTATGAGCTAAAGTGGTTTTGTTGAAGCATCACTATGGCAGTAGTGAATTAGTGGGTGTACTTTTGGGCCCTTCATGCCCATGTGTAAATTGTTTATAAAGAATAGTTATTAGTGTAAAAGAGTTGTTCATCTGAAAGGATTATCCCAAATATTCCTCAGTATGCTTTTATCTGAAGCTGAATTAATGGTACCTGCAAAGAAACATGAAGAGTTGGTGGGACATGATAAAGGGACTGTGGTGTGGTCAAGCATCTCCTCATTGCATGGGATGTGGTCAGCCCTCACTGAGAGTTCTTTTTTTTCGGTACTGTAGATGTACACTAGTGTAGATGTAAGATGAATGGGGTCACTTGGAGTACTGTGTGCAGTTCTGGTGTCCTCAGCATAAAAAGGACATGGAACTGTTGGAACAAGTTCAGAGGAGGCCATGAGGATGGTCAGGGGACTGGAGCACCTCCCATATGAAGATAGGCTGAGAAAGTTGGGGCTGTTCAGCCTGGAGAATAGAAGGCCTCATAGCAGCCTTCCAGTATCTGAACGGGGGGCTGTAAGGGTGCTGGGGAGGGACTCTTCATTAGGGACTGTAGTGACAGGACAAGGGGTAATGGGTTAAAACTTAAACAGGGGAAGTTTAGATTGGATATAAGGAGGAAATTCTTTCCTGTGAGGGTGGTGAGGCACTGGAATAGGTTGTCCAGGGAGGTTGTGAATGCTCCATCCCTGGCAGTCTTCAGGGCCAGGTTGGACAGAGCCTTGGGTGATATGGTTTAGGCAGGGGTGTTGGAACTTGATGATCTTAAGGTCCTTTCTAACCCTAGCTATTCTATGATTCTATGACTGTTTATCTGTGGTTTATCTTAGTGTGAGTATTCAGCAAGCTCATATTTGGTCATAACGTGTCTGAAAATGTTTTGGTAATTACTTAAAGTTTAACTTGAATGTGCAAATCAGCTGAAGTAAGCACGACTTACTTGCAAATTTTAGCTTAGTTGCTTTAGAACTGCCTTTTATATGAGCACAACTTTTATACCCTTTCATTTTTTTTAATCTGTTACAATATTTCAGGTTCTAAGAACTTTGATGGAAAACTTTATTAAGGCGACCATAATTGTGCCAGTGCTGCTACCCCA